TGGCCTTCCAAAAGAGGACGATATCCGCTTCGTCATGCCTGGAGCTGATCCGTGCTGGTCGCTGAGGAAATACATCAACTTTGCGCTGTGGATCGCCGGATCGGCTTTCACCGTGGACGAAGCTGAGTCCAGCCCGGGGTCGTCACATGTGGTTGCCGCAAGACCGCCGGCCACTCCAAGCCCTTCTCAAAAGCCGCTCAAGCCCACCGTGTGTGATGCTGTGTGTTTTGTTGTGAAAGTGAAACTACTTTGTTTGTCCTTCCAAGAGGACACGACTAGAAATCAGTGGTTCAATTGTATTTACAACACTGTTCCAGAACAGTTTAACCCAAATATTCAGATGTGTGCAGCACATTTTATGGAGGACTGTTTCCTGATCCTGGTAGAGTAGACTACAATGACGGCTGTTCTGACTCACAGCCTGTAAGTATGTTTTTTATATTTAAAGAATTTGCCACTGATGATTCAAACGAGAGTTTTGGGCAGTGTAGAGTAGCGCTTGTTGTTTGTCATTTCTCTGATCACAAATGCAGACATGGTTTTATGTTTACGCGGCGTGATGCAACGCAACGTGTAAAAAGACGGTATAAGTCATTATAATCCATAATTATGTCCCCACTGGATGCAACGAATGCATCGTTTACAATGGGTTTTCATGTTTTTGTCTCGTCGCTCCGGCCGGGACACGGCATCACAGTATGGTAAGGGACGTAACATTTCCGTCACACGCTTGAGGAATTCGGCCAATCACAACGCACTGGATAGCTGGCCAATCACAGCACACCTCGCTTTTTCAGACCGATGAGCTTTGTAAAAATCGACACGTTTCAGAAAGGAGGGGCATAGAGGAGAAACAATAATGTACAGTATGTGGAAAATAATGTGTTTTTTAAACCTTAAACCGCATAAACACATTTCATTACACCAAATAAACAAAATAATGTTCTTTTTAGCAGCATCATATGACCCCTTTAAAATATTAATTACTGATGTACATATACTTGTACATTAGTTTTCCTTAATACACTTTAATGTGGAAAGACAATGAAACATTTAGCTTTGGCTTAAGTTCATTTAATATTATGTTCTTGTTTAACTCGTTTCTTTTTTCCATTTATTTTTCATTTTGTTCCTTGCAAAAAAGAAAGACAACCTTATTGACTTAAAACAGTTAACCCACTGTATAAATATTTAAGACAACTTTTAATGTATTATATTATTAAATAAAATGCTATTTAATTAAATTATTCAATAAGCTATATAATGTTTTAATAGCAAACAGGGCCAGAATTAATCATTGCAATTTTATAAACTGATTTTTAAATATAAATCCAGGTTCTTAAGTTCAGACTGTGCAGATCTGTGCATCAAATTGCATTGATTTAAACAGAATATTTTATAATACTACTATGTTATTTTTTTTAATGTAATAAAATGTCAATGACTCGCTATTGTTCTGCAACACTAGAGATGCCGCTCTGTGCATGTGAGGTGTATAACAATCAATAGATCAGTGAGCTTTATTCTGGTGCTTTGTCTTGCCATCCTGTTGTGTGAAATCGATCTGTATTTGTGTGGGGGATTGATAAGAAATATAACAGTTATCAGGAAAGATGCATTAACGGGAAGACACGCGGAAGTGTTCTCATGTAGAAAGTCTAAAACTTCAGTCTGGCCTGGTTAAATTTGGCATCCAGCTGTCGTCAGACATGGTCCTGTGTTCTTTTAGCAGAGACTCATGGGAAGGGAGGGGAGGGGGCTCCTGCACTCCAAATCGCATCGAGCAGCCGGTGAGAGAACGTTCTCACAGTCAGGGGTCTATGTGTGTGATGCAGTGCTGTGTTTCTGCGGCCGTCTGGTCCTGATCATCACCAATGCTCTTATACCCTCGCTTGTGGTTTAGCATGACTGGATGTACAAGTTCCCCGTAATACCTATTTTAAAAGAGTCATATTTCTTATTTTTGTTGCATGTTCTCCACCTATAATGTTACTCAAGGTTTCTTGCGGCGTTTAGTTTCTCTTGACCATCTCTGTGTGGTAAAGAAGCTGATTGAAGGTGAAGTGTAGTTAGTTTCTGTCATCATTTACATCACCATCATAAACTCAAAAAAGAATCCAAAATTTGAGTTCAAAAAAAGGTTTGTAACTGCATGCATATTTTAAATTATAATGAGGTATTGGTCTAGTGATGTTTGACTGGCAGATTAGTGGCATTGAGATTTATCAGTCTTAATTTACACTTTAATGATGGAAACACATGGTTATTCTCTTTGGTAATTGTCAAAGATGTTAGTAACATCCACACCAGTGCTGTTTTGTTGTACTGAACATGTTTTTCTCTTCTAGATTACCTGGACAATGGCAATAACAAGATGGCAATCCAGCAGGCTGACAAACTGCTCAAGAAGCACAAAGATCTTCACTGCGCAAAGGTGTGTTATTTTTTTATGTTTTTATTTTTACTCCAGAACTTTACTATTAATAGCAAACACTAGGGCTGAAATGTGGGGTGGGAAAATTTAATTTTTATTTTATTTAATTTTTCCGATACAGATTTTGATTAAAAATGCTTTTGTTTTATTTATTTATTTTATTTTATTTTTTTAGCCAGCTGCAGGTTTGTTGTGCTTCTTTGTAGAGCTTTGGCCACAATATGTTTATTTCAGTAATATGATTTTTATATTGTAATGTTTATAGATTAATATGTCAATAAAATAATAAAATGCTTACAACAATAATACTATTATTATTATTATCAAATTTATTAAATAAAGTAAAATATTTTTAAAAAATGCAAATGTCACTGTAAAAAATATTTAATTGCAGTATTTACAGCTGTCATAATTTCTTCATGTTCATGCATTAAACAGTCAAGTTTTACTTTGGCAGAAAAACAAAGTTAAATCTTTTGTTTGAAACACGCATTTGATAATTGCACTAAGCCATATTGCGATTTAGATTTGATTTGGTTTATTCATGCAGTCCCAGCAAACACAGTTTCCAGTTTAATGTTGGTCAGCTCAGGCTGCGATTGGTTCGCTCAAGCTAACTGTCACAAAGAATTAGCAGAACTGATGGATTCACGTCGTACTTCACATGATGCTGTGGACAGTGGTCAACACAAAAGGCTGTTTTGTTTAAGAAAGCGAAAACATCATGAATTTGACCTTCTAGATCAATGAATTAGCTCCAGACACATTTGTTGCATGCTTTTGCTCTTGTTTGGCAGGTCTTGAAGGCGATTGGTCTGCAGCGCACCGGCAAACAAGATGAAGCCTTCACGCTGGCGCAGGAAGTGGCCGTTCTCGAACCCACAGATGACAACTCTTTGCAAGCACTGACCATCCTCTACAGAGAAATGCACCGGCGTGAGTGTTGAAAGCACAGACACAGAACTTCATCCTAACAAACTGAATTTCCTTTTTCTGTCCTCACTGGAACCGAAATGCCATTCAGAGTATGTTTGGTTTTAATATGCACAATGACATGGACCACAAACCCAAAAACTCAAATTTTGTGGGGGGGGGGTTTTTTTCCTCTTTCTTTCTATAGCCGAGTTAGTGACCAAGCTTTATGAAGCTGCCGTCCGGAAAGTTCCAACGAGCGAGGAGTACCACTCTCACCTCTTCATGGCCTACGCCCGGGTCGGAGAGTACAAGAAAATGCAACAGGTTTTGTTTGTGTCCTCTCTGATATCATCAGTCTTTACATACTGTTTAAAAAATAAATCAGGGCTGCATGATAAGGGGAAAATTTTATTTTTGTTTTTGACAAAAATTGTGATTTAAAATATCAGTATCGCTGTAATAATAATAATTATTATTGTTATTATTGTTGTTTATTACTATTAAAAAATCAACAAAATAGGAATAAGAAATATAATTACTTATTCCCATTAAAATAAAAATCTAGTATTAAAAAGTGTTATAATAATAATATTTTACAGTACTAATATTTATGCATGTCTTAATTTCTGCATTTTCAAATATTAAACAATTGAACTTTTATTTTGTCGTAAAACCAGAGGAGCCATTATTATTATTATTTATTTTATTTATTTATTTATTGCAAAATTATTAAAGAAAATAAGAAATACTATTACTAATACTGTATTAGTATACTATTTATTATTCACTGTAAAATAAAAAAGTCTAGTATTTAAAATAATGTTATGTAATATTTTATTTCCCTGTACTAATTTTTATGGTTTTCTTAATTTATGGGTTTTCAAACATGAAATTATTATTTTTTTAATGATTTACTCATTTAAATTAAATGATTTTTTTATTTTGGTGGAAAAGCACAGGGAGCCCTTATTATTATTATTATTACAACAAAAATATTAAACCAAATAAATATCAATATCCACTCTTAAGTATAATTATATACCTAGTGTTTATGAAAAAAATGTGTAATTGTAATTATTTAGTTTTTAAGTTAAAGTATTATTATTTTTTGCTTTCTTCATTTCTGCATTTGCAAATGTTAAACCATCTAGCTTTTATTTTGCTGGTAAACCACAGGCCTTTAAAGCTTCTCTTTTTGTTGACAACAGCCATTTCAATTTGCATTTCAATTTTAGGAAGTTGGTTGTTCTCAAATGCACATCATAAGCGAGCCAAACTTTGAGATTTGATAATTGCATTAAGCCATATAGAGATTGTAGTTTTAATAGGGCTGCCTAGTTAATAATGAATCTCTAAAATATATGTTTGTGTCCACAATTCTGGCAGGCTGGAATGGCGCTGTATAAAATTGTCCCCAAAAACCCATATTACTTCTGGTCAGTGATGAGCTTGGTGATGCAGGTACGGTGATGTTTTTTCACTTACATAAACAATATATATCAGAGATGAACCCATGCAGAACAAAATAAAACAACATCATCAATGCAATTTGTGTTTCAGGCCATCTCAGCACAAGACGAGAAGCTCTCTCAGACCATGTTCCTGCCGCTGGCTGAGCGGATGGTGGAAAAAATGGTAAAGGAGGAGAAAATAGAGGCAGAAGCTGAGGTAGGACTTTGGTATCAATAATCTGTTTCTGATTTCAGCCGTATGAAGTTTATGATGCATTTTCCATCGGCCGTTCCAGGTCCAGCTGTACTTTATGATCTTGGAGCGTTTGGGGAAATATGTGGAGGCACTGGAGGTGGTTCAGGGGCCACTTGGAGGTGAGGAGAAAACTGTGTGTTCTTCAAAGGAATATTCTGGTTTATTTCCAGTTGAATGTATTTGTGTTGCATGTGTGACGTGCTGCCAGTTACCAGAGATGAGAAGCAGGTAAAAAAGAACAGCAATTACTAGGGATGCACGATATATCGGCCACCATATCGGTATCGGCCCATATCGGCTCATTTTTTCTGTTATCGGTATCGGCCTGATAAGAAAATTTGGCCGATATCTTAAAGCCGATAAATAATGCATTATTTCCTTCAGAGACACTTCAGATGCGCGCTGTTCGTTTGCAGCCCAACTCATGGGGGATTGGTCTCCATATAAAGAGCATGTTATTATGAAAGCTTGTGTCCAATACAGGATAAAAAAAATAAAAATGTGTAGGTAATTGTGACTTTTTCTCACAATTCTGACTTGTTTTTGAATTGCAAGATATAAATTCAGATTTGAAAGATATAAACTCATAATTTGAGAGAGAGAAAGTCACAGTTACCTTTTTTATTTGATACGTAAACTCGGAAGGAAAAGACGATCTCTTACTCTTTTTGGTATAAAGTAACCTGCGGTCAAATAACTGAATATACATTACCATTCACAAATTTGTGTTTTTTTTTGCAAGACATAAATATTTTAATCAGCAGGGACATATTAAATTGATCAGATGTGACAGTAAAGACATTTATAATGTTACAAAAGATTTCTATTTCAAATAAATGCTGTTCTTTTGAACTTCCTGAAAAAATGTATCACTGTTTCCACAAAAATATTCTCGGCATTGATAATAAGAAATGTTTCTTGAGCAGCAAATCAGAATATTAGAATGATTTCTGAAGGATCATGTGACACTGAAGACTGCAGTAATGATGCTGAAAATTCAGCTTTGATCACAGGAATAAATTACATTTTAAAATATAATAAAATGTAAAAGAGTTATTTTAAATTGTAATAATATTTCATAATTTTTTTACTGTATTTCTAATCAAATAAATGCAGCTTTGATGAGCATAAGAGACTTCTTTCCAAAACATTATAAATTCTATGTGCTTCTACCATTGACATTGCATTTAATGTTTGTATTGCAAAGAATGTGCAACCATTAGATTTTTTTGTCTATACATTTAATGTCTCTTAGTCATTTTGCCTTGTGTTTTCTCCCTCAGAGAAGCTGACCAGTGAACTGCAGAGCCGTGAGAACAAATGCATGATGCTGTACCGCCGTCTGGAGCGCTGGGCCGAGTGCAACGCGCTGTCCTGCAAGCTGCTCCTGAAAAAGTGAGTCCACCACTGATACGCTTTCTATCAGTTTCTTGAACGGATTTAACATAAATAGCAATTTTGGAGTGAAATCGTTCCATTTGAGCAATGCATTTTCAGTACGTAAGATGTTAGTCATTTTTTGTTTCTCTCCGCAGCCCTGACGACTGGCAGTTCTACATATTGTACTTTGACTCTTTGTTCTACCTTATTGATCAGAGCTGGGCACCTCCGCAAGAAGGAGCTCAGTAAGTAGAAAATTCACAACATTTAACTCAGAAAGAATTTGTCACACATGAGTTGGAAAGTCAGGTGCACTGCGTTGAATACTGGGTGTAGGTGATTGGATATTCCATGCATATTGAGCACAGTTTGCATACTAAAAAGTATTTCTGTCTCTCAGTATCATGCATGCCGTGTTGTTTCTCTCACTACTGCAGTTCTGCAGAGGGGGAGGTGCACGCCTCCACAGCTCAGGCCATCAGCTTCATGGAGGACCGAATAGCCACAGAAGAAGCGAAGGAGTCCAAGCATCTGAGAGGGCCATACCTGGCCTGTCTGGAGCTCATCAGACGGCTCCGAGAGCGCAGCTGTCCTGAAGCACAGCAGCTAGGTACACAATGGGTTGGGACTCTTTAAACCCAACGCAGGCTGCATGTTTGCTGTATGTTTCTGACGTGTTTTCCCAACATGATGCAGGTGAACCTCTTGAGCTCATGTTCCAGTTCTTTGTGAAGTTTGGAGACAAGCCATGTTGCATCACCGACCTGGAGATCTTTCTGGATCTTCTCACACCTGACCAACATGTGCAGGTAATCACGATGAGAAGCAAGACCAGTGCATCACTTGCACCGAATAAGAAAATCGATTTTATACATGTGCGTGTACAGTTGCAAGAAAAAGTAAGTGAACCATTTCTAATTTTCTCAATAAATTGGTCATGAAATTTGATTTGATCTTCTCCAGTCATAAATATCAACAAACACCGTATTTCTAAGCTGATGAAACACAAACAATCATCATCTTTCATGTCTTTATTGAGCACACTCATTAAACATACAAAGTGATGGTGGAAAAAGTAAGTGAAACACTAGGCTTTTGGTGTCACTGAATGCCAGTTGGAGTCAGATGTTAGCAAACCAGGAGTCCAATCAATGAAACGAGAAAAAAGGTGTGGTTTAGAGCTAAATTGACTTATATAAACACCCAAACAGTGTCAGTGTGCTATTCACAAGCAGCATTAGCCGATGTGAGCCGTGCCCCACAAAAAAAGAGATCTCAGAAGATCTATGATCAAGAGTTGTTGATATGCATGTAGCTGGAATGGTTTACAGAGTCAGTCCACAGTTAGACAAATTGTTTTTAAATGGACACGATATGGTACTGTGGCTACTCTCCATAAAAGTGGGCACCCAGCCAAAGGCACAATGTAGAATGCTCAATGAGGTGAAAAATAACCCTAGAGTAACAGCTAAAGACTTGAAGGATTCATTGAAGCTGGTTAACATCTCCGTTCACGAGTCAACCATACATGAAACATTGAACAGGCATGGAAGGACACCACGAAGGAAGCCATTGCTCTCCAAACAAAACATTATAGCACGCCTAAAATTTACCAAAGACCACCTTGACACTCCACAACACTACTGGGAAAATGCCTTGTGGTCAACATGCAGCACTATGTATGGCATAAAAAGAAAACGGCGTATCAATGGAGACATAAAATCCACATTTTGGAGTGGCCCAGTCAAGCCCAGACCTCAACCCAATAGAGATGCTGTGGAATGACCTTGACAGTGAGTGAGCTCGGTGAGCTGAAACAGTTCTTCTGTAAGGAAGAATGGTCCAAATTCTACAATAAATTAGTCCTGGACGTTGTGCAGGTCTAATACAAAGCTATAGGAAGCGCTTGCTTGAGGTTATTGCTGCCAAAATTGGTTCAACCAGTTATTAAAGCACTGTTTCACATACTTTTTCCACCATCACTTTGTATGTTTAATGAGTGTGCTCAACAAGATCCGCTTAGAAATATTGTTCGTTGATACTTGTGACTTTGGTGAAAATCAAATCTAATTTCATGACCAAATTATTACCGCAAATGAGAAAATTGACATTAGTTCACTTACTTTTTCTTGCAACTGTATGTGTATTTGCTTACCCACTAAAGAAAGAAAATATATTTTATACGTGAGTATACAGTTGCAAGAAAAAGTAACTGAACCAAATTGCATGTCGTTTAAACAATTCCGGTATTATCGTATAATATAGCCTATAGCGCACACCCCTACGCTCCTAGAACGTATTGTAGGACCACATCTGCATGCAGTGTGAATTAGGGCTGTCAAATAAAAATTCGGAATTCGAATATTTGTCGAATTCCAAATAAAAATCGTCAATTTTTGCATTCGAATTCTTGGTGTGCGTCAGGCAGCCTTATCAGTGACACACGAAATGCGATGACGATGTAAGTGTCGTTGCATTTTAATGGTTTTGTTAGCCTATCCAGTTGAACCCACTAGATGCGGTGCTGCTCATTCAAAATATTGTGGAAAAAGAGAACATCCTACGGCAAAACTGAAACGAAGCCATTCACATAATGCATATTTATTGCATTTTCTAGAGGGACATCTATCACCGTTGCACTCGCGTCTCGCACAAGAGAGTCGCATGTTTAGAAAGCCATGTAAAATTAATGTGAGTTCAACTTTAAAAAAAACATGTCTCGAGACTTTATGGCGGTTTTTCCCCCATCCCACTTCATCTCATGTTTTTAAATTTAAAAAAGTACTCTGTGTTTGGTTTTCAGTCCTTTGTATTAAACTATGCATACATACATGATGCTGTTTTGTTTCTAACTGTTTAAGCAACTTAATTAATTGTATTTGGTTTATAACCATTATTTTAAATATTATGCACTTTTTTCAAAGATAGTTGTGCTATTTTATTACTTTGAATAAACGTGCATTAGTAATATTCAATGTATATTTATTGCATTTTCTATAGGGACATCTATCACCGTTGCACTCGCGTCTCGCACAAGAGAGTCGCATGTTTAGAAAGCCATGTAAAATTAATGTGAGTTCAACTTTAAAAAAAACATGTCTCGAGACTTTATGGCGGTTTTTCCCCCATCCCACTTCATCTCATGTTTTTAAATTTAAAAAAGTACTCTTTATGTTTGGTTTTCAGTCCTTTGTATTAAACTATGCATACATACATGATGCTGTTTTGTTTCTAACTGTTTAAGCAACTTAATTAATTGTATTTGGTTTATAACCATTATTTTAAATATTATGCACTTTTTTCAAAGATAGTTGTGCTATTTTATTACTTTGAATAAACGTGCATTAGTAATATTTTGCTCGATGCGCCCTCTTGTGGCCTCAGGAGAGAAGCCAAAAGCTTTTTTTCCCTCTAACTGAAATTATGCCTATTAAATTTGAATATAGTTCGCATATTGATAATATTTAAGTACAAAATTCGAATTTCGTTTTTCAGCCATTTTGACAGCCCTAGTGTGAATGCTCCAACATGTTAGCGGGGGCACGGAAAAACTCCACAACACTACTGGGAAAATGCCTTGTGGACAAATAGAATTGTTTGTGAAGAACATGCAGCACTATGTATGGCATAAAAAGAAACCGCAAACGTAGTATGTGTGAAGCAGGCGTAAGATGACCTACATAGGTCTGGGGTGGGGCAGGTTATTTTATTTTTATTTTTTCATAACTAATTAAATGAACATGTTAAATATATACTAAGTTTCTTGCGACTGTCTCAGTTCATCAACAGGGTAATGGAGGCAGTGCCGCTGGGCGCTCCGGGAGAGGATGGTGTTGCTCTTCCAGGAGACACGCGGGCTCTGCAGAGACATCTGTGTGTGACCCAGCTGAGCCGCAGTCTGGGTCAGCAGCACGCGCTCAACACCGAGGGCAAACTGGGCCTCATCAAAGAACTGAAGGCACATTACCGGCACGGCTTACAGTTCGGTAAGCAGATGACTAGGCAGGTTGAACTCTTATGATTTCTTCCTTTTTTTAAATGATAATACTAGTGCTGTCAAACGATTAATTGCGATTGATCAATCTAAAATAAAAGTTTTTGTTTACATAAAATATGTGTGTGTACTGTGTATATTTATTCATATTTAAATAAATACACACACATGCATGTATATATTTAAGAAAAATGTTTTGTTTATATATAATGTAAGTTATCTGAATATATACATGTAAATATTTTCAAAATTTATACTGTATGTGTGTGTGTATTTATATAAACATAATAAATATACACAGTACAAACACATATATTATGTAAGCAAAAACTTTGATTTTGGATGCGATTTAATCGCTTGACAGCACTAGATAATACCAGTGTCTAATATTTATTTCGCTTCCTATCAGACTTTGTACATTTATTTCTATTTAATATGTTATACCTATAATGTTCAGTAGCAGCAGTCTTACCATTTCCCGTTTTCTTTCTGTTCTAGGGAAGTCCTGTTTAAAAACAGAGCTACAGTTCTCCGATATGTACTGTCTCATGGCGGCTCATGTCTATATAGACCTGTGGCTGGAGACGGGTGAGTCTGCTCCTCATTTTTACAGTCAGCTTGATTGAAAGCATTCATGTTTTCTTGTTATTGATGAGCGAGTGCTGTGTCTGTGTTGTAGGCGATCAGAACATGTTGTGGCAGTGTCTGGGGCTGTTAGAGGAAGGTCTCTCCCACAGTTCCTCCAACGCTCAGTTCAAACTGCTGCTTCTGCTTCTGTACTGCCGTCTGGGGGCTTTTGAGCCGGTGGTAGATCTTTACTCCAGTCTGGACGCCAAACACGTCCAGCACGACACCATAGGGTACGAACGTGTCTTTTTATTAATTTGTTAAAGGTAAAATTGAATTATTTTTATATATATATATATATATATATATTCCCGATCAGTTCATGAAGGCACCTTATTCTAAATTTTAAAGAGCTTTTTTAATTATTAGAGATGCAAGTTTTATGACAGCACATTATTTGCATACATTAAATATTGTACTTCTTTATATAGGAAAACCTATAATACCATTGAAAATACACACTCTCCCATTCACATTTTTGCACATTAAAACCATGTAAAAATAAATAACCAATAACTTCACCTGGTTTCTGCTGTAACCATGTTGTAAGTGAAGAACAGTGTTATTTTAGTATTATTTATATACTATTATAGTGTTTTTTTTATATATTTTGTACTACCTTTTATTTTTATATATTTTTTTATATTCATATATTTTAGTTTAAGTTGTAGTGTGATGTGCTTTTTTATTTACATTTTTGTAATTTCATATTTATGTTTAGCTTTAATTTATTTTTATTTAAGTTTTAGTAATTTTAGTACTTAAACCTATTTTATTTCAGTTAGTTGCCAAGGCAACATTTCAAATTTTCATTTAAGTTCAGAAAAATTGTATCTAATTTTTATATTTATATTTAACAAAAGCTATTTTTAATGGACACTTTTCACAGACTGTAATGGTGCATTTCCACATTTATTAAAATATAAATTTTATATGTGCATGTATGTTATGTATAATATTTAGATTTTTTTAGTTTCATCTTTTCAGTTTTGAATTAACAGAAGCTATTTTAATAGTTTCAGTTAACAGTAACACTGGTGAAGAAAAAAGTAAAAAAAGTTTTTTGTTTTGTTTAAACGCACCATAAATAAATAAAAGTTGATTGCCTTGTGTACCAATTCAAAGTACAAAATATAATAATAATAATACACTTTTCATTGATTGAAGGTAAAGTAGAATAAAAAAGAAAGTCTTGGGATTAAATCACATTAATGCATCACGGTATCTCATATTAGGTTAAACGTACTGATCATGCAGTTTGATGTTTAAACATGACTCATATTAACACTGATCTCTTGGTTTTGTCTTTGTCCAGGTATTTATTGACCCGCTATGCAGAGTCTTTGGGCCAGTTTGCTGCTGCTTCCCAATCTTGTAACTTCTCCCTCAGGTTTTTTCACTCGAACCAGAAAGATGTACGTTATCATTCTGATGAACGACACTATGTACAGAATCTCCCAAAGATGACCATTCTGTCAACATTTACTCATGCATAAGTTGCTTGTTCCTGCAGACCTCAGAATACATTATTCAAGCATATAAGTACGGGGCTTTTGAGAAAATCCCGGAGTTCATCGCCTTCAGGAACCGACTCAATCACTCGCTGCACTTTGCCCAGGCGCGCACGGAGAGGATGCTGCTGGACCTCTTCCTGGAAGCCGACACGTTAGTCGCTTTATCTTTACCTGTCGTATTTTCTGCCTTTTAGAAGTCAAAAAGTGATTTTGTTGATTGTTGTCTTTTCATTGCACAGATCATCTCCTCTAGAGGAGAGCGTAAAATCAATGTCTCTATGTCCGGAAGAGGACGACATCCCGTGGGACAGCTTAAGGGACAACCGCGACCTGACTGTCCTCGTCAGCTGGAACCCTAAGGACCGGTACGACGAGACCATCCTCCTGAACTATCACACGTTTTAAGCATTGGTTTGTTCTAATAATGATCACAAACCGCAGGCAGCTGAAGGAGGAGCACAAGCAGCACTCTCTAGAGGACGACACCCTGTGGCTGAGGTTGCGGTCGCTCACGCTGCGTCTGATTGGCTGCGTCTCTGCGCTCACTCACCTGCCGGCATCACGTAACTCTGAGAAGACGACTGAAAACGGAGTGGCGGCTAAACCGTCTTCTCTACAGTCACTGCTCTCACAGCTAGAAAACACGCTAAACCAGGCCACACAGTTCACGGAAAAACAGCTGCAGGTCAGAACCGTTACAGACCATTTAGCACATTTTTTTCTTTCCCCTTTTATCTAAACTCTTGCTCCACATAGCTGTATATGCATCATGTAAGTTTTAGGACGACATATTACTTGCACACATGCAATTTTAATAACTAATTATTTTACGATTTTAAATGAAAATAAACTCTATCCCATACAAATTTGTACACATTTAAAAAATAAAAATAAATAGCCATAGCCAGTACCTTCACCTGGTTTTGCTTCTGTTGTAACCAAGATGTTGGTGAAGAACAGTATTTTAGTATTATATATGCTACTGTAGTATTTTTTTATATTTTGAATTAGCTTTGTTTATACATTTTTCATTTTAGTTTAACTTGTAGTAATGTTGTGATGTGCTTTTTTATTATTTTTTTTCTGTTGTGTAATATATTTTATATTTCTATTTAGATTTAATTAATTTTTATTTTAGTTTTAGCCATTTTAGTACTTAATTTATTTAGGTTAACATTTCTCATTTAAGTTTTTCCAATCTAATTGTTTTAGTAATTTTGTGATGTGATTTTGTCATTTTTATTAGGGGTTTTTCTTTTCTATTGAGCTTTATTCAATTTTAGTTTTAATGTAAGTCATATTAATACTTAGATGTGTTTTGTTTCAGTTAGTTGCAAGGCAACATTTAAGTGCTCCTTAATAATAAAAGTTTTATTTTATGATTTTTCTACTTTTTATTTACAATGTTAAACACTAACAAACTAAATAACTTCAATTAAAAAAATTGATTACTTTGTGTATAATTAAAAAGTTTTTTTTTTTTTTTTAAGTTGTACACAATTTTCAGAACATATATTGGATATAAAATAGGTAGTTAAGTCCATTGATTGTGGCTGTATGTTGTGGTTCACAGCATCCGTACCCGTTTGTGGGGCCCGTGCCGTCTCGTCTGGCTCAGGCTCTGTCCAGTGGTTGCTGTCAGTGTCAGCTCTCCTCCCTACAGCTCCCTCTGCACCTCCAGGAGCTCGAGACCGCCGGCCTGGGTTCGTTACTTCACACCTCGTTATGTACAGCGTCCATCTGCTTAGCAATCCTGTTTGATTTTATGACAAATATTAGCATATTTATTTTGTTACAATTGTAAGTTTATTTTTCTGGCCTGAAAAAGATGAAACAAATAAGGTCCTACTCAAAAAAAAATAAAAATAATAAATTTGTATCATATGTGACCTTGGACCACAAAACCAGTCATAAGGGTACATTTTTTAAAATTTGAGATTCATACATCATTTGAAAGCTGAATAAATAAGCTCTCCATTGATGTATGTTAGGATGTATGTATGGTGATGTATGTTAGGATAGGACAATATTTGGCCGAGATACAACTATTTGAAAATCTGGAATCTGAGGGTGCAAAAATATTAAGAAAATCACCTTTAAAGTTGTCCAAATGAAGTTCTTAGCAATGCATATTAGTAGTAAAAAATTAAGTTTTTATATATTTACGGTAGGAAATTTATAAAATATCTTCATGGAACATGATCTTTACTTATTATCCTAATGATTTAAAAGAAAAATCGATAATTTTGACCCATACAATGTATTTTTGGCTATTGCTACAAATATACCCCAGCTACTTAAGACTGGTTGTGTGCTCCAGGGTCACATATTAATTCAGTTATACAATTTATTACATTGTATATAAAAAATTATTAGATTTTGAATCCTTCAATTTAATTGGACTTATGATTGTATTACATTAATAATTGTATCTCTTGTATTTTCAGATGAATCAACAGAGCTTCAAACACAAATATCTAATCTTTTCAAGTCTTTAGCAGTACAACTTCAAGGTATGTTTAAAAGCTTTGTACATATTCATGTTTAGTTTGTGTAACCAAGTCTATGTGAGCGCAAAAATAATAAAAATAGTAATAATAATTCAGCCCACTTTCACTATCCAATCAAATCCTGATGAAAATAATTCAACAAAATAAAATAACGGTTCATGAAATTATTAGTTTTTTGCTGATGTAACCAAGTCCATGTGAGCATGGAACATAATAATAATAATAATAATAATTAGGGATGCACCGAAATGAAAATTCTTGGCCGAAACCGAACAAAATGAAACCGAACATGGTTTTTCAAGTTTTTTGCCCATTTTTTTCACCATTGTGCAAATTAAATAGCCAAAATGTGCTTTTTACTGTTTTATCTTGCTTTTCAAAGAAAAAATCAATTACAAAACAACAATTTAAAAATATTAAACACTAAACATTTTAGCAGACATTATACCAACAAAGCACAATTTAACTTAAAATTAATAAGTTACTAAAATATATTTTTTTGTTTGGCGATCAGACCCCCTTCTTGAATCAGGCATGTATTTTTTACTGTAAAATTAAAAGCAGCCTCGCTGAGCAGAAGAGACTTCTTTTAAAACAAATTCGAACATGGTTTTTCAAGTTTTTTGCCCATTTTTTTCACCACTGTGCAAATTAAATAGCCAAAATGTGCTTTTTACTGTTTTATCTTGCTTTTCAAAGAAAAAATCAATTACAAAACAACAATTTAAAAATATTAAACACTAAACATTTTAGCAGACATTATACCAACAAAGCACAATTTAACTTAAAATTAATAAGTTACTAAAATATATTTTTTTGTTTGGCGATCAGACCCCCTTCTTGAATCAGGCATATATTTTTTACTGTAAAATTAAAAGCAGCCTCGCTGAGCAGAAGAGACTTCTTTTAAAACAAATTATTACAAAATGTAATGAATTTTTATTACATTACAAAATATTACAGATCCCAATTTGAACACTGTATGTATGTTATAATAAATGTATTAACAGAGCTGTTGTAATTATCATCATTATTATTGTCATTTACTTTTACAGAACAGTAAAATTACAATACTAACATTTATGAATGTTGGAGTTCTTGCTTTTTGCCAACTTTTATTTTGGCGGAAACACGCAGGAAGACCTATAAATGACATATAAGTGAGTCTCATTACCAATACGTCGCACATATCGCATTGTTACATGCCTTGTAAAATTTCATAAAAATGTGACCGAGCAACTGACGAGTAACACTGTTTCAGCGCAGATTTTCCTCGTGCTTTGGACTTTGAACACTGGTTAACAAGCAGATCTGCTGCGAGTTCGGGCAGCGCTGTCAGAATACATGCAATTCGTCCGTGCATTAGAAAACATAACGTTCTGCAGTTTATTTACTAATTGTTTAAGGCCATTTCGCGATTTCAATCATCATACAGTAACCAGCAACAATCACCCCTTCCTCTTCTCATTGAAGACATGCGATGCAGTCCTAAACAGTCTCTCGCTGTCGGTGCTTGTAATGATTTTTGCGTCTTTCTCGGACAGTTTAAATGCTTCCACACTGAGTGCTGACATGCCTGTTGCCTCTCACTCTGCGCTGGTTGCTATTTGATAGCGTCACGTTATTGATCGGTACAATTTATTCTGTCTTTTCGCTTAAAACCGAATAATTTTGGTTGCCGAACATTCGGTTCATCCCTAATAATAATAATAATTTAGCCCACTTTCATTATCCAGTCAAATCCTGATGAAAATAATTCACGTTACAAAAGTTAAATGTGTTGCAGATGGGTTAAGTTTGACTTTTTTTTTTTTTTCCTACATGCTTTTCCAGATATGTTGGAAAAATGTAAAGGTGACCTATTAGACGTTAAAGACGATCAAAGCAAGCCGCAACAATTTTTACTGGAGAATCTAGTCTACTTTGTTGAAGTGAGTCTCTCTCCATCACTGAATTTAAGAGAATACATGACTGTTGAGAAAATAAAAATAATAATTTTTTTATCTGTTGGTTCCAGACTGTTTGTATCGTCCTATGGGTGTCTAATTACTGTGGAAGCGTCCTCCGGCCCTTAAAGTCCAGTTTACAGAAGAAGAAGAAAAAGAAAAAAGAAGCCAGCACTGTAACGGTAGTAACAGCTCTGATCTCTGTTGAACCTCTCTCTCCCGAGTCAATATTTATGCAGTGTAGGGTTGGCAGGGAATGTGGGTCAGTCTTGTTTATGTGCTGATTTGTGTCTCCCACACAGCCGCCGGTGCTCTCGGCCTATCAGGAGTTCAGCAGCAGCTTGCAGAGTCTCCTCAACCAGGCGCTGGAGCACATCAAGAGCCAGGAGATCAGCCTGACGGCGCTGAAGCTGGGAGCCCTCAGTCTGGAGGGACAAACCCAGTCTGAGGTGCGTCTCAAAAAGACAGACAGACCTTTGATTATCAGCATCGAGTCTGGTCCACTGTTGTTTATATACTGTTCTAGTATTCACTTCTACTTTGAATTAGCTTTTATTTTTATATTTTCATTAGAATTTTTTGTCATTTTTATTATGTGCTTTTGTCAGTTTTTTATGTATATATTTCTATTTAGCTTTAATTTGTTTTCTATTACGGTTTTAGCAATCGTAGTACTTAAATTTTAGTACTTTAATTTCAGTCAGTTTTCAATAGCCAACATTTATCATTTCAAAATATTGATATATAAGGAAAAAAGCTAAGGATATTTATATAAGAAAAGTTAAGAAAATACTTCTTAATGGTATTGCAGTCTTAAGAAGAATTAAAATTCTTGAGAAGAATCTTAAAAATAATTTCATCACTTAAAAATAATTTAATGAATTTATTGGGTTGTTTCAAGTTCTAATTAACAATATATAATTGCTAAATATGATTGTTTAATTGTCTTTTAAGCTTAATTATTTTATTTAAGGAAAAAAGTTAAGAATGTTTTGTATTCCCAAAAACACTTTTTAAGACTGTTACAACAAAACTTAAGAATTCAGAGTCTTCTTTAAATAATTTTATTTAAAAATAATTATTTAATGATTAGGTTATTTCAAATGAATTGTACTTCTAATATAGTTTTTATTAATTAAGTTTTTTTTTTAAGTTATATTTTAAACAAATGTTTTGTAGTGTAATTAAGTTTAATTATATAATTGTTATTATTTCTTAATCATTTAATTATTTAAGTTTAATTTAATAATTACGTTTAATTATAATTTAAGGAAAGAGGTTACGAATGTTTTGTATTCCCAAAAATACCTTTTAAGTAAAAAAACTTAAGAATTGAAATTCTTGAGAAGAATCATCTTAAATTTTCATCATCTTGATTTTATATTGATACATCTTGATCATTTCTTAATCATCATTTAATGAATTTATTGGGTTGTTTCAAATTAATTGTTGTATTTAGGAAAAACATTAAATTACTTGGGAATTTTTGCAGGCTTATGAAATTTCTTAACTTTTGTGAATCTGGCCCCTGGTCCCATAAATTGTGTAAAGCTAGCTAAATGCATCTGTCTGCGTGTGCGTGTGTGCAATCTGAGGTTGAAACTAGGTCACGATGCTTCAGAGAAAGCGTTTCTCGGTTTTTGACCGCTGTTTTCTCGCTTCATTCAGGCGGAAGAGACCTTCACGAAGACGGCCATGGATAAGGTGCAGAGCAGCTACCTGCGTTCGCTGCAGGAGATCGGGGAACTGTTAAAGAAGAGAGCGGACACGTTAAAATCCCTCAAAATCTGAGCGCTCCATCGATCCGGTCCCTGACACGCACGGCTCCACGCGACGGCCCCTAACGCAATCCTCCCGTCTCAGTCTGTGAACTCAGCTGGTCTCGTCTCCTCTTCCTATTTATCCGTCTCATTACTCACGTACAGACACAGGCACACTGTAAAGTTCAACAACGGCTTCAGCACAAACATCTACGGTGCTCCGCGCAGCACTTTTAAGTGGAAACGTAAACTTCATATCCCTGGCAAAACTACATAGGCAAATGAAAATAAGCAATTTTAGAAGTACTGCTATAAATTATTGTACATAGTGTGAAGATAAAGAATATCAACGAGAACTCCTTGGCGAATTAAAGTGAACTGCTTTGTCCTTTTGTCGATGTCTTGCGTTATTGTCTCTCTCACTTCCCAGCCGTAAACCTCGCGATTGACGGTTCGTTTTCAGACGACACTCCAAAGCAAAACGGGCCCTTACGGTGCCGCTCCGTATCGCAAGTAGCCAACTTCCAGACTGACGCACTCTGCGATGCGTTTACGTAGCCGTTCGCGATGCACAACCAGCCAAGAGCTACGCTTCGTCCCAAGGAGATTTCGACAGGGTGGCGCGAGTATCCAGATGCTTCGGGTGCTTCTATTGCGATATTTGTTTGTATATTACAAATGACTTTACTTGAGCCACAAGCGTACGAAATGTAGCTTTCCCGACTGTTTGTTTGGAATTGCCACCATGTGAAAACCAATAGCATTTAGTGCTACTTGAGGTTTGGGAAAGTTTGTGTTTGTTTGTTATCCTTTGATTGATGGTCAAAGACGTTTATTCAATCATGTTTGGAATTAATTTTATGATTAATTGAATCGATTGGTTGGGGCGCGTTGTTTACTTTGAAAAATTGTCGATTGCACTGATGATGTCCCTTACATGATGAGGTTTTATTGTTGTTGCATACCAAAAATGTCTAAATTAGCCTTGCGTTAAAAGGTTAGTTTACCCCAAAATTCACCCTCATGTAATTCTGAAACCATTAGAAATTCGTTCATCTTCGGAACACAAATAATATGATTAATTGACTGTTAGAGACTTCTGTCCCTCCATTGAAACTCTTTCACCCAAAAACACTGATGATTTAAAACATTCCTAAAGAGATTTAAAAAAAATATAAAAAATCATATGAATCCAGCAGTCTAATCCAAGTCTTCTGAATAAACACAATCATTTTATGTGTTGAACAGATTTAATTGATGCTTTTATTCACTTACAAGCATTGATCGATGAACATAAACAGAAGCTTAAGCATACTTGCTCGATATATGCATACTTGCGAAATTTCATTGGTTTGTTCTTGTGTGCGTCAAGCAAGCATGCTTGAGTCCTCGTTACCAAAAGTAAACATTGTTTGCTGATGAATGTTAATAAAAGCCTCAAATAAATACGTTAATTTTCAAAAGACTTGGAATAAAGTCGATCAAATTGTATGGATTTATTTTTATGAACGTTTTGAGTGTCTTCAGTATGGAAGCCCGTTTCCGCCACTGAATAAAAAATAAGAGATAATTGCGACTTTTTATCTTACAATTCTGACTTTTTTTCTCAGAATTGCGTGATACAAACTCGCAATTGCGAGTTAAAAAGTCATAATTGCGAGACAAAGTCGCAATTCTGAGAAATAAAGTGAGAACTGCGAGATATAAACTCACAATTCGGACTTTTTTTTTCTCACAATTGCGAATTTATATCTCTCAATTCTGACTTTTTTTTTGCGAGAAAGTCAGAATTGCGAGATATAAATTCGCAATTGCGAGAAAAGTCAGAATTGCGAGAGTCAGAATTGCGAGATATAAATTCACAATTGCGAGAAAGACCAAAGTGCGAGAAAAAAAGTCACAATTGCGAGAAAGAGACCAAATTGCGAGAAAAAGTCAGAAATGCAAGATATAAATTCGCAATTGCAAGAAAAAGACAGAATTGCGAGAAAAAAAGTCATATCAGAACATATCAGTCTTTTTCCCCCGTCAAAATTGGACTTTAACTCGCAATTGCGAGTTTATATCTCACAATTCTGAGAAAAAAGTCAGAATTTATTTCTTTTTTATTCAGTGGCGGAAACGGGCTTCCATACTTCAGACTTTCAAGGATGGACTTAAACATCTCCAATTTGATTAAAAATATCTTAATTTGTGTTCCGAAACAATCTCTTATGGGTTTGGAATGGCACGAGGGTGAGTAAATTGACAATTTTCATTTTGGGGCGAAATAATCCCTTAACGCCGCAGTAGAGTCGAAGGTAGGTTTTTATACGACTGATTTGTTGAGGTCTACTGGGAAGTGCAACTTGTTTACAGTGTTTTCGAGCACCGTTATGAATCATGTTTCTAGCATGTGTTGTCCGGTGTGCTGCAATCTACTACGGGCTTTCACCGCTTTATACCTGCTCGGGGAGGGTGGAAAGACGCTTTTCTCTTTTTTTATTTTGATGCAGGACAGGTTGTGCAACGAGCGGCTGTTCTTGCGTCGCTCCGGGACTGAGGGGCTCGAGGAGCACAGGCGCTTCTGCTTCTGGACGGAGGAGGTCAAGAGGTGGTTGGAAGTGTGTCGGCTGATGAATTCTTTTGTTAGGGAAATCGAGAAAACAAACAAAAACACTGGAATGTGAAAAGGAGTTTTTTTAAATAAAAAGTAAATGTTCCACATGCTGTGCCTGCTTTAGAATGATTTTTTTTTGCATTCACACAGCTTGCTTTATCTTTAAAGTCAACATGAAATCAAAAGATTTACTTTAAACGTATTGCTGGTTACATTGCATTATTTAATGTTGATCTTAAAAATGATTTGATCTTAAAATATTGGTTTGCTTTTGTATTTTAATAGGCTACAGGATTTCTTCAATAATTAAAATTGTATATTTTATACAAATGTACATAATTTAAATGTTATATAAAAAATTTAACTAAATTTAAATGTATAAGTTAGTTATAATCAAGTAACTGAATTGCTTTGATGTAATTTCTTCAAATAAATTTTTTTAATTTTATATAAATGTGTAATATTTAAGAAAATACATTTTAAGTGTATAATTTTATATAATTTATACTTACCTGAATCAGTCGCTTTCTGAGTTTTCGGAAGTTTTTCGTGGTAAACTCCAAATATAGCTCACCCTCGCGCCCTTTTGCTTACTTTCTCTAGTAGCTCTTTGCTAGTGAAGTTGCCTCAGAATAACTTTTATTTGCAGATTTAACAGTTTGACAATCACACACATTTTAAATGCTTGCGGTTTTTTTTCTTGTCAAAAGTTATTACTAGCCTCCAGCAATCCCACGCATCTGTAACCGACGAGAAGGGTGTGGAAACCAGAGAAATGTCTCAATACAAAGAGTGACTGTGTATAACTTACTAAAAATAAGTGGGTGGATGTGTTAGAGAATGAGACATGACAAAAGCCACATGATTTAGTGCAGTGTGCGTCTATTAACCAAATTACATCATGAAGCGACAAGCCCTTTCACCACAAAAGCTTCTTTCTGTGCATCAAGTCTTTGTGATTGTGAGTTACAGGAGCACACCTGTGGCCTGCGATCAGAATACAGCTCACAATGAGGTCAAGCTCAGCAAAAATCTCCGATTTTAGCCTGATGCAAAGAAAAATGCAGAATATGCAGCCTATTGAAACATGAAGCCTACATGAAAGTTACATGCATCACCCAAATTCTCAGTTGCAAAAGCATTTTTCAATTACTATAATGCAAAAAATATGGTATATTATTTAAGTTGTAGTTTAAATGCATTTAGTAATATTTATTTGTACTTCTTAGTATGGAAGCCTGATTCAGCCATTTATATATGTATGTATTTGTATTTATTTATACTAAAAAAGGTAAAAAAAAATAATAAAAAAAATTTTTAAGAGGTAATCCTTGAATTCAGAGAAAAATGTCAGAATTGTGATTTGAGTTTATATCTTGCAATTCTGACTTTTTCCTGAGAATTGCAAGTGTATATCTCACGATTCTGACCATTTTTACCAGTCACAATTACTTTATTTTTTTTATTCCACGGTGGGGGTAACAAAAAAAAAACAGATTTGTGAGATAAACTCAGAATTCTGAGAGAGAGAGAAAAAAAGTCAGAATTATGAGATGTAAACTCAAAAAAAAAAAAAAAAAAATCTTGCAATTGTGACAATTTTTTCCCCTCAATTTTCTTCTCAGAATTATTCTGATTTTGTCACAATTCTGTTTTTTCCATACAGAATTTTTTTCTTATGGAATAAAACAAAACGATTGCTAACAGAAATGAGTTTACCAAAAAAAAAAAAAAAAAAAACATCCAGATGCATTACAGCAAAATATATTTTTTTTTTTTTCTCTCTCCAAGCAAAACATGACAAACGTGTTTTTGTGGGATTCTTCTGTCAGAGTTGCAGAAAGCAATATCCAATCATTTCCACAAACAAAGTAAATCAAAAAGTGACTTCTTCCAACTATGAGGACACTAAAAACATATGAAAATAAAATTGTGCAACAAGAACAGCACTTTGTTTTCATATGAAACCGGTTGAGCTACATTTCTAAGCGGAACTGGTGATATATTAGAGCTTCTAACATGAGGAAGGGTGATTATTCAAACTTCCTCATTTCCTGTGCAACATTTCTGCCATCCGTTAAGCACTGAATATACTAAACACAACGTCTTTTGCTACTTTCCCCTCTTGGATCGTCCCTTGCGGCCGCTCAGTTTGCCGGGGCCGTGGGCCGAGGGCCCAGGCTGTGGGGCCGCAGCGATGTTGATCTGACCCTCTTGGATCTCTTGCCGGGCATCTGCCGGCATGCGGTCGATCTGCTGCTGCGTCTCCAGGTAGAACATGACGTCTCGCAGCTGCTCCTGCAGCTCGGCGATCTGGCCGTCTTTATTGGCCGCCGCCTCGTGAGCCCGCCTCTCCTCCTCCTGCAGCTGCGCCTGGAGCTGCGTCTGATTGGCTCGCAGGCATCGGTTCATCTCCTGCTCCTCCCGCAGCTCTTGACTGAGCTTCACCACTTTGTTGTTCAGCTGTGAACATCTGCAGAAAACAGCACAAAAGACTGTGTAAACAGTGTATTACTATATTTTTTAAAAAGTCATTTTTTTCCAGCAATAAGCAACTACCTTTCAAAAAACTTAATTTCCTTCAAAGAACAATATTTACTACCAATAAATACACTGCAATAACTATAGCCAGTACTTTAAAGAAAAAAAATAAATCACAAAAATTCTAATTCCTCCTCCGCTGTGTCTTTCTCCAGATGAACTATTTTATTCTCCCAGTAAATGCGCTGAGAATCCAGCTGGCTGGTTAATAAATATGAATACTGTAGGAAAAAGATTTGTCAAACAAAATATAAGATGATGGCAGAGTATCTAACACAAAGCAAATTCCCCCCCCCACACACACACACACACACACACACCTCGAGCTGCAGTGCATCGATCTTCTCATCCTGACACGTGTCGCCCTCACACTCGTACTGCACCATCTTCCCGTCGGTTTTACTGGCAACAAGCCGATGAACGTAGTTATCTGATCAACATAAGGGCAAAGGCTCTGCAAAGTTCAGCTCCAACCCTAAACAAACACACCTGAAGCAACTAATTAGGGTCTTCAGGATCACTTAAAAATTAAAGGCAGGTGTGTTTGATTAGAGTTGGAGCTAAACTTTGCAGGACAGTCGATCGCCAGGAGCAGGGTTGGGCACCCCTGTTATACATGATGTGCAAAAATGTATTAAATAATTATATTACATGTTTAGGATAACCTGGGTCATGTGGCTGTCTCACAGCAGATCACTGTGTCCTGTTCTATTTTTCAGATGTGTTTTGTCCAAAGAAATGTGTTATTCATTACTACAATGATGTTTTCCGTGTGCAGTTAGTCAATTAGTTGTTTACCTCTTGGACTCCACACTCAAAACACTTGTTCTCCTCCACGGGTTCAGGAGTCTGACAGTATCTGCACACAGGACACCTGCAGAAGAAGTGCACACTGTTAGTGCTCTTAAAGGAATAGTGAAAATTTGTTGAATATTTACTCACCCTCAGGCCATCCAAGATGTAGATGAGTTTGTTTCTTCATCAGATTTGGAGAAATGTAGCATTATATCACTTGCTCCCCAATGGATGCTCTGCGGTGAATGGGTGCCGTCAGAATGAGAGACCAAACAGCTGATAAAAACATCACAATAATCCTTAAGTAACCCACACCACTCCAGTCCATCAGTTAATGTCTTGTGAAGCCAAAAACATGCGTGTTTGTAAGAAACAAATCCATCATTAAACCATTTTTAACTTAAGTCCATAATAACGCTTCCTCTGGTGTAAAAGTCCATCTCCTGTGGTCTCTCACATCAAAATCCAGCCACATATTTGTTTAGAGTTATTTTGGACTGTAAACGGTGCTTGATCTTTGCAGATTTCTTTCCTGATTCAGAAAAGATGCACTGGAGGAAGCGTTATTATGGATAGAGGACTTATATTTAGCCTGAAACAATGGTTTAAAGTTAAAAACATTTTAATGATGGGTTTGTTTCTTACAAACACGCACCTTCACACTACATTAACTGATGGACTGGAGTGGTGTGGATTATTGTGATGTTTTTATCAGCTGTTTGGACTCTTATTCTGACGGCACCCATTCACTACAGAGAATGGATCCATGGAATGCTACATTTCTCCAAATCTGATGAAAAACAAACTCATCCACCTCTTGGATGGCCTGAGGATGAGTACATTTTCAGCAACTGTTCATTTTTGGGTAAACTATTCCAATGTGACGTCAAAAAGACCATTTACTTTCTTTATAAATGTCCCATCTTCAGTCTAAATCTAATATTTATGAGTCACAGTTTGAGTTAGCAGTCTGTTCAAATCACTAGCTCATAGTATGAGCGTTAGTAATAGTGATGCATGCATTAGCAAACTCCACTAATGATATCATGACCTATTTTTCAAGCCCAATCAAATCCTGATGAATAAAATAAAGTCCCACCCTACAAAATTTCCCACTGAATATCAGTTCACTCAGAAATTTGTCACAAAAATGCATCACACGTGCCAAATTCATGTGTGTAAACACTTAAACCTGAAACCATCTCCGCAAAAGCGGTTTGCACTCCCATTGTGCGCATGAAACATGACACTGTGACGTTCATCTCGCAGGTCAGAGGTCAGCTATGACAATTAAACACAAACACAACAGCAAGAATAGAGAACGGCCTAGCAAACCTGTATCACGTCAATGAAGAATCGGGACAAAAAGGTTAAAAGTGATTACTTTTACGCACGTAAATAACAGATGAGAGCAAAATATGAGCACAAACACAGTGTCATGCACTGATGCGTCATGAGAGAAGAATGTGACACGAGGGTGTGGATGAAATTTGCCAAGCATGAACAAAATGAACTAAAAAATATTAACTAATATAATACACATATATACAGTGGGTACGGAAAGTATTCAGACCCCCTTAAATTTTTCACTCTTTGTTATATTGCAGCCATTTGCTAAAATCATTTAAGTTAATTTTTTTTCCTCATTAATGTACACACAGCACCCCATATTGACAGAAAAACACAGAATTGTTGACATTTTTGCAGATTTATTAAAAAAGAAAAACTGAAATATCACATGGTCCTAAGTATTCAGACCCTTTGCTGTGACACTCATTTAACTCAGGTGCTGTCCATTTCTTCTGATCATCCTTGAGATGGTTCTACACCTTCATTTGAGTCCAGCTGTGTTTGATTATACTGATTGGACTTGATTAGGAAAGCCACACACCTGTCTATATAAGACCTTACAGCTCACAGTGCATGTCAGAGCAAATGAGAACCATGAGGTCAAAGGAACTGCCTGAAGAGCTCAGAGACAGAATTGTGGCAAGGCACAGATCTGGCCAAGGTTACAAAAAAAATTCTGCTGCACTTAAGGTTCCCAAGAGCACAGTGGCCTCCATAATCCATAAATGGAAGACGTTTGGGATGACCAGAACCCTACCTAGAGCTGGCCGTCCGGCCAAACTGAGCTATCAGGGGAGAAGAGCCTTATAGGTAAAGAAGAACCCAAAGATCACTGTGGCTAAGCTCCAGAGATGCAGTCGGGAGATGGGAGAAAGTTGTAGAAAGTCAACCACCACTGCAGCCCTCCACCAGTCGGGGCTTTATGGCAGAGGGGCCCGACGGAAGCCTCTCCTCAGTGCAAGACACATGAAAAAACACCTGAAGGACTCCAAGATAGTGAGAAATAAGATTCTCTGGTCTGATGAGAACTTTTTGGCCTTAATTCTAAGCGGTATGTGTGGAGAAAACCAGGCACTGCTCATCACCTGTCCAATACAGTCCCAACAATGAAGCATGGTGGTGGCAGCATCATACTGTGGGGGTGTTTTTCAGCTGCAGGGACAGGACGACTGGTTACAATCGAGGGAAAGATGAATGCGGCCAAGCACAGGGATATCCTGGACGAAAACCTTCTCCAAAGTGCTCAGGACCTCAGACTGGGCCGAAGGTTTACCTTCCAACAAGACAATGACCCTAAGCACACAGCTAAAATAACGAAGGAGTGGCTTCACAACAACTCTGTGACTGTTCTTGAATGGCCCAGCCAGAGCCCTGACTTAAACCAAATTGAGCATCTCTGGAGAGACCTAAAAATGGCTGTCCACCAACGTTTACCATCCAACCTGACAGAACTGGAGAGGATCTGCAAGGAGGAATGGCAGAAGATCCCCAAATCCAGGTGTGAAAAACTTATTGCATCTTTCCCAAAAAGACTCATGGCTATATTAGATCAAAAGGGTGCTTCTACTAAAAACTGAGCAAAGGGTCTGAATACTTAAGACCATGTGATATTTCAGGTTTCTTTTTTAATAAATCTGCAAAAATGTCAACAATGCTGTGTTTTTCTGTCAATAGGGGGTGCTGTGTGTACATTAATGTGGAAAAAAAATTAACTTAAATGATTTAAAAAATGGCTGCAATATAACAAAGAGTGTTTTTAAAACGTACACCGTTTAAACTAGGCTGCTTATGTTGAAGTGTTTGGGATGTGGTTTTTAATGAGGAGACCTTTTTTGTAATCAGGCTCTCAAAAAGTATATAAAAAATTTGATATAGATTTATCGGCCAACATATCGGTTATCGGCTTTCAAAAATAAAGAATTATCGGTTATCGGTCAAAATGTTCATACCGGTGCATCCCTATATATATATATATATATATATATATATATATATACATATACACACACACACTTACAACTTATTGTTTATAATTAAATGTAAAACAAATTAAAATGATTTAAATATCAAATTATAATATAATAAAGTCAATAATAACTATATTATAATTAGGGTAGGGTCAGACTTGAACTTTTTTCAGTAGGATTCAAATTAATATTACTATTTAATATATATTTTCCTAGCCCACACAGCCTTGGATATATCACCAGCAAAGCTATTTGTTGTTTTTAAAATGATTAGAAAGTAAGTCATTTTGATTGCATGTTGAATCTAAGCGCTTTGGTTGTGAATGACAGCACTCACGATGCATCCTCCCATCTCTGCAGACACTGGCTGTGAAAGCTGTGGTTGCACAGGGTGGTCAACACGCCGTTGACGGACTCGTCCATGCGCTCCAAACACACGGTGCACTTGGGCAGCTCAGTCAGATCCATCACAGGTAAACTGGCCCCCTGTTCATAATGAAGAGTTTGAGATCATTCACACATTCCAGAACACTGCAGCTATTGTTATGCATGTAAATCAGTGCTGGAAACACGACATGTGCGTGTGCATGTGTTTAAACAAAAACAGCCAGTCAACAACAAAACTGGTTATTCCTGGTCACTCAAGCAATGCATCGGTCTAAAATAGTGTTACGTTGCCAAGAATTTTATAACTTAGTGTCGTTTGTTCAAATCATAGTAGCTGCTTGCTTCAGTAATGATAATAATATGATTTCTTTTTAATTTGAGAACTTATTGTTAAATCTAAAACATAAATTCAAATGTTTTGCTATGTGGTTGTTCTGTGTACTTTAAATATGTTGAAATGTTCGGGTGGTTGCCACGGATTTTAACACTTAACACAGTGTTATTGGTTTGTTCATAATAATTGCTTGCTTTAGTAATAATATATCTTTTTTTATAACTTACTGTTAATAATTAAATGTAAAACACAAATGAAAATGCTTTAAATATCAAATTTAAAATAAAAACTTTAAAATACGATTTAAGTGAACAGAACTACATTTAGTGTATGTAATTTTTTAGGTGAAAAACAGTATGCTAAAAGAGTAGTCCGAATTCATAGTATTCGCAAAAAAGTAGGCAAAAAAATCCCCAGATGCTTTACTACTTTCGTTGATTCATTCGATGGATGCTTTACTATCCCATGAGGCCACAGGAAAGGATTTATACTTTGTAACGGTTGTTAAAGGGGCTTTATGTAATTTTTTGACTGTGCTAAAGCATAAAAACACCATAATATGTTTGCAGATATTTAAGAAACATGTTAAGTCAACATACTTGTTTCTCCGAAAAACAACACTACAGCCAGTTATTCTGCTTTTAAATGTGTGTTTCGTGTCGGAATGACCGTTTTTGTTTTGGTCTGTGTGACTCCACCCACTGCCAATTCACCCAATAGTATTTTGACACCCCGGGTTGCCAGTTTGCGTAAATCACAGTGTATTGAATCCATGGAAGCCAGAACATGAGCTGGATCAGAGATAGCAGATTCTACCCGACCTAAAAAGCCTCGGCATCCATCTAAAAGGCTCGATGACCAGAGGAATATTAAAACTTAGATAAATCAACTCATCAACTTACATAGTAACACCCTGTCTACACTGGACGTGGCGCGACAAAATCCTATAGAACCCATTATAATCAGTGATGCTGTTTACACTGGATTTTTTACGGTGGCTTTGTTGCGTCCAGTGTAGACAGACTTCAGCTGTTGCGGCGCGTCGTGTCAGTTGCATTTATTCTGTTGCTTGTCTGGCAACCCATATGAGTGTCGTGTCTGAGGAGGAGTGGGTGGGAAAAACAACTCTCTCCAATATTTTTAATTTAGACTGCAGTATCCATTTCAACTGCTAGCCGTCAATATTATATACTTTAAAACCAATTACCAGTCGGTACTTCTGACAACACTATTGTCTAGTAGGTACTACAATTGGTTATCAGCAGATCGGTCTATGTGCAGATATATTAGGGATCTGCTGATAAACGCGGCTTTTAAATGCTCCTGTGCGAGCGCTCGGTGAAGAGCATGAAGCGATGATCATTGTAGCCAATCACAGTCATATCTGTTGAGCTCGTGAACAAATTGGCCAAGAAATTGTTTAAGAATCGGCTCAACAGCGCTCAAATGTTAGCTGGAAATGGATATTTTTTAAATTACAGTACTGACTGGTATCGCGTTCTGTACTTTTGACAATATGTGATTTCAGAAGCATCATTGGTGGTTTGTTCAAGTCATATGTGACCCTGGAGCACAAAACCAGTCTTAAGTAGAACGAGTATGTTTGTAGCAATAGCCAAAAATACATTGTATGGGTCAAAATTATCGATTTTTCTTTTATGCCAAAAATCATTAGAATATTAAGTAAAGATCATGTTCCATGAAGATATTTTGTAAATTTCCTACCGTAAATATATCAAAACTAAATTTTTGTCTACTAATATGCATTGCTAAGAACTTAATTTGGACAACTTTAAAGGAGATTTTCTCAATATTGTGATTTTTTTGCACCCTCAGATTCCAGTTTTTCAAATAGTTGTATCTCGACCAAATATCGTCCGATCCTAATAAACCATACATCAATGGAAAGCTTATTTATTCAACTTTCAGATGATGTATAAATCTCAATTTAAAAAAATTGACACTTAAGACTGGTTTTGTGGTCCAGGGTCACATATTAGATATTTGCTTTAGTAAACACTACTAACTAATGCTCCAGAGCCTTACCTCTTCAGATTTGATGACTTCCGCTCTCTCCACATAGACTAACTGGCAGACAGCATCCTCAATGGAGTTGAACTGACGGCCGTTACATGTTGTGTAGAAGCTGTCAGCATCGGCCTAAAAAAATGAAAAAAACACAATGACCGTCCATTCATAAAATACTGAACATCAAAAAAACTTCAGCAGGCTAATTTGCATGAGTTTATTTTGCAAATCATGTGGCAAAATGTGTCTATGGTCAGAATCAGAGGCAAATCATCTTCTTGTGAAAAGTGTAGTTGCAGGCAGCAATTAATGAGTCTTTACCAGAAAATGCATGAAGGTTTTTTTTTCTGAAGAACTGTGTTATAAACCAAATTAGTGAGGATTAGACAGACTGGGCACTTTTTAGATCCTGCCCAATCAAATTTCAGTTAATTCATTGTCATTGTTCTTGTATCTGGATAGGTAACTGACCTGACTCCTGAACTTTACCAGCACCATGTACTGGTTGGGCATGGAGTCCCGGATGATCTTCATGTGCTCCATGACGTCATTGAAGGGGGCCACAAACTTCATGAGGTCGTGGCTGGTCATGGTGGTGGGTACGGTGAGGATGCACAGCATCGCGCTGCGCCGCACGTCCTCTGTGAGCGATGTCATCTTACTGTCAACACACAAAACAAAACCGACAGCTCAAATCAACAATGCAACAAAGTGTCTGTTGTTCTAATTCCACAAATTCCATGTTTTTTGGACATACTACACATACTAGTATATAACATTTTGAAAATGTATATAAAGAAATCCCAGCAAACCAACTCAATGACAAATATAATTAGATTATATTGCAGCTTGCAGCTCTGACAGCATTCTAGGTGTTTCAGCAACTACAGGTGCATCTCAAATTAGAATGTCGTGGAAAAGTTCATTTATTTCAGTAATTCAACTCAAATTGTGAAACATGATTCAACCTTGTACTAAGTTCAGGCTGTTTTCCTGGAGTCACAATTTACAAGAGTGGAGATGAATTGGACCATAATAATTTCAGATGCTTTTTTTATTTTAAGCAATAGAATTGTAAACTTCCTTAACGGACACACTGTTCTGAGCAGAGTATGTGAGCGGAGTGGAGCGGCAACAATTTCCCCAAGTATTTCAGTATGTTTTGAAGTATCACAGAAGTTCTGTTCGTAAAATAAATTAAAAGAAAAAAATTTAATAAAATACTAGCAGAGTAGTTTTAAAGTGGCTTATTGGAACACTAGTGTGCAAACTTTTTTCCTACCACATGCCAAGCTTATTGCATGGTTGTCTGCATTAGAAGTAGGGCTGCACGATTATGACAAAAATCATAACTGTCGATTATTCCCTTGAAATTATAATTGCAATTATCACAATTGATGTTTTGAATAGCTTTATACCATTGTTTGAAGCAAATGCATGCCATATTTTTATATGAAAATAAGCTGAAAACACTAACAGAAAAACTTTTATTGCCTTTCTATAGCATTAAGCCTCAAATGTCAACTATACATTGGTTTGGTTTCTTCTTTACATAAAAAAAGTTAAAATATGCATGGTATTATAATGTTATGCTAAAACTAAAATTAAAACAATGGAAATATCCCTTAAGATAAACTGTAGAAAGAAAAAAACACCACACACATCTTAACTATGCAGAAAAATGTAAGTGGACTTTTTTTTTTTGGTAGTAATTGCAGTTTTGAACGATTACGTAATTGTGGCATCCGCAATTGTAATCACGATTCAAAATTCGATTAATTGTGCAGCCCTAATTAGAAGGTATCATTGCTGCTTATTGTAGTGCAAATTTTGTTTGTGAAGGATGAAAATAACCTACGTTTTCGTCAGTTAGCCTATTTTATCTACGGATTGCTGCATTTCTTACAGATTTCTACTCATTCGAAATCGGATACAGATGAAAGAGCACTGTATTACATTTGTTTGATTGCATTATTGAGAGAGCGATTGCATGTGAATAAGTGCTGTAAGTGCTGTTTAAATCATGCTCTTACCCAAAAATATTCAGTATCTAGAAGGAACAAACAAATTCCTTGAGAACTAACCTGCTCAAGTCCATTGCCGTCATCATAACCTTCACATTCTTTCTGATTTGAGTGATCCATCTGTATCAAGCTAGCTAAATATATGTTTAACATGTGAATTCTTGCTATATGTGCAGTTTATATGCAGGTTTCAATATTATGGGCTGTTGGTATGAATTGTACTCGTGATGGAGCGAGTGAAAACCACAATGCTAAGACTTTTTAAAAATCCACTCCTCGCTCCCTTCAAAATCACACTGCTCTGCTCACATACTCTGGTCCTGAGTCAGAATGGCTTCCTTCCAAATCACAGAAATGCTGACCACATTCACACTCTACACAGGCTAATCAATAAACACATCAAACAGAACAAAAATGGAAAATATTTGCATGCTTTTTCAATTTCAAAAAAAGCATTTGATTCTATTTGGCACAATGGAATATATTATAAATCAGAATTCTGCAAACTCATTCTAAAATTACAAAGGAGAACACCCAATAACGCATGTAGGGCATAATTAGGCCAATTCCTATTGATTATTAATATCCAAAAAAGATCACTCAAATTAAATTGGAGAGATAGAACAATAGATAGAAGTGAAGTGACATGTGGCCAAGTATGGTGACCCATACTCGGAATTAGTGCTCTGCATTTAACCCATCCAAAGTGCACACACACAGCAGTGAACACACACACCCGGAGGACACTTGCTCAAGGACACCTCAGTCGTGGTATTGAAGGTGGGAGAGAGCACTGTACATTCACTCCCCCACACCTACAATTCCTGCTGGTATGAGACTCGAACTCGAACCCACAACCTTTGCGTTACGAGTCCGACTCTCTAACCATTAGGCTACGACTTCCCCATGACTATCTATAGAACGTTAGATAGAACGACAGACAGATAGATAGATAGATAGAACGATAGATAGATAGATAGAACGATAGATAGATAGATATAGATAGATAGATAGATAGATAGATAGATAGATAGATAGATAGATAGAACGATAGAACGATAGAACGACAGACAGAGAGACAGATAGACAGATAGATAGATAGATAGATAGATAGATAGAAAGATAGATAGATAGAACGATAGAACGATAGAACGATAGATAGATAGATAGATAGATAGATAGATAGATAGATAGATAGATAGATAGATAGATAGATAGATGGAACGATAGAACGACAGACAGACAGACAGATAGATAGATATATAGAAAGATATACAGTGGGTACGGAAAGTATTCAGACCCCCTTAAATATTTCACTCTTTGTTATATTGCAGCCATTTGCTAAAATCATTTAAGTTAATTTTTTTTCCTCATTAATGTACACACGGCACCCCATATTGACAGAAAAACACAGAATTGTTGACATTTTTGCAGATTTATTAAAAAAGAAAAACTGAAATATCACATGGTCCTAAGTATTCAGACCCTTTGCTGTGACACTCATATATTTAACTCATTTAAGGGGGTCTGAATACTTTCCGTACCCACTGTATAGATAGAACGACAGACAGACAGACAGACAGATAGATAGATATACATAGATAGACACAGACAGATAGACAGATAGATAGATAGAGAACGACAGACAGACAGACAGCTAGATAGATAGATAGATAGATAGATAGATAGATAGATAGCGACAGACAGACAGACAGACAGACAGATAGAGAACGACAGACAGATAGAGAACGACAGACAGACAGATAGATAGATAGATAGATAGATAGATAGATAGATAGATAGATAGATAGATAGATAGATAGATAGATAGTGACAGACAGACAGACAGACAGATAGAGAACGACAGACAGATAGACATAGATAGATAGATAGAGAACGACAGACAGACAGACAGATAGATAGAGAGCGACAGACAGATAGACAGACAGACAGACAGACAGACAGACAAGATAGATAGATAGATAGATAGATAGATAGATAACGACAGACAGATAGACAGACAGACAGACAGACAGACAGATAGAGAACGACAGACAGATAGAGAACGACAGACAGACAGATAGATAGAACGATAGATAGAACGATAGATAGATAGATAGATAGATAGATAGAGAACGACAGACAGATAGACAGACAGACAGACAGACAGATAGAGAACGACAGACAGATAGAGAACGACAGACAGATAGAGAACGACAGACAGATAGAGAACGACAGACAGACAGATAGATAGAACGATAGATAGAACGATAGATAGATAGATAGATAGATAGATAGACAATGACAGACAGACAGACAGATAGATAGATAGATAGATAAATAGATAGATAGATAGATAGAGAACGACAGACAGGCAGACAGACAGATAGACAGATAGATAGAGAACGACAGACAGGCAGACAGACAGATAGACATAGATAGATAGATAGAGAACGACAGACAGACAGATAGATAGAGAGCGACAGACAGATAGACAGACAGACAGACAGACAAGACAAGACAGATAGATAGATAGATAGATAGATAGATAGATAGATAGATAGATAGAT